TTCGATTTGACTATTAGTCAACGTAAACGCGAAGAGAACAATTGACGATGATCATTTATAACCCTAAATAAAAAGATTCGATGTAAAGTGTACACATTAACGACGACGTTAGGACGATGCAAGACAAGACGTAATTAAAGCTCTTTTTCCAAAAGCATGCCGATTGCCGAAATAAGAAGATGGTAAGCATCCTACATGCTCCTAGTAATACTTGATATAAATTTTATGTGGATTCATAGATGAATTTGAAACGTACCGTCTACATTGGACTCTAAATGCAACTTACTTAATGAGATACTAATATCGTACAACCCAAATATAAATAAAATTAAAAAAAAAAAACAAAACAAGAAAAGAATACCTCTAAATATGAGAGAATGAAAAAACATTGAACACGAATACTATTTCACTGACGTAAACGATTTTCTTAGGATTTTATATCTGTTTAAATAATTTTCTCGGACCGTAACCAAAACGAATAACATTATTAGACTGCGGTAAAAGATATTTTGAGGACATAGAATACCAAATATTAATTCGACTAGCTATATCTTTAAGACTTTAACTAGTTAACTAACCATGGTTGGATATATATAGCAATAACTCCTAGGGTCCATTAATGTTCGTACTCTTAATTGTTTATACTTGGTAAACTTTTGTTTCATTCAAATTATTACTCATGGTAGAAGCAGTAATTATTTGTGTTAGTGATTTTGATATGTTACCATCCAAATTTAAACTCAAATAATACATATTTCTTCAAACTTTTAATTTATCTTGTACATGTATCTCAAAACAAGAACCAACCAAGCTTCAAAAAAAGAACCAATCGTTAATTTGGTGATTGATGTGAAAATTATGCATATTTAAACTGGGACAAACAATTCTGAATTAATTGATAAGTGAGGGAGGCCATGTATACAATTATATGAATTTGACACCAAGTAAAAATAAAAGAAATATTGATATTTTACAAAGTTATCGAGTAATGGCAGCTTGAATCTCTTCGAGCGAACGACCTCGAGTCTCTGGTACCATCTTTATCACAAATAGGATGCCCACACCCGATATAATTGTATATATGAAAAACACACCTATAATTTAAATATCAACAAATGATTAAAATTTGATCAAAATAATCTAGTAAATGTATTTACTTTGAGACTTGTAAAATGAAATGAATTACCAGAAGAGCTCCACTGGAAGAGGAAGTTGAATGTGTAAGAGACGAACCAATTGCTGGACCAGCTAGTTAGATTGCATAGCGTCCCTGCTGATCCTTTTATATTGATCGGTGTCATCTAATTATCCCACAAAATAAAATAATTAGAAACGACTAATTAGTTTTTATCTAGATTATATCTTAAATTAAATGAAATGTTAGCTAGCACCCAACTAATATTCTCAGATTTAATTACTATACTATGTGCATACTGCATACAGAACACTTAATTATTTTTTGTTTTTTGTTTTCGTATATTACATTGTTTCATTATTCATCTAATTACGTAGTCATATTCATAAATCTAGGTTTTTATGCTTTTGAATTTTGCTATATACAATATATTTTTGTCAAAACATACATTTCTTTTTTTATACATCCGTCATATATATTGTTGAACTATTCATCTGGTTACGAATATATCGAAGACAAATGATTACCTCGGATATCATGACCCATGGAATGCCTCCTATTCCGATTGTAATCGAAGTTAGAAAAATCTGCAACAAGAGTCAGGTAAAATTTATCTTAAGTTAAATTAGTTAGATATATGATTATGTTTATGTAAGGAGAGGACAGAGTGAAATCATTATGTAGTACATAGTACGTACCAACACTCCCATGAATGTTGAAATTGGTGTGTAATGTTCAAGTAAACCATAGCTCTGCATATTAGTTTTGATTGCTTCAGTTATATTGAAAAAATAAAAAGTAATAAAAACCATTTCAAGAAAAACAAAACTAAAAGAAAAAAAAAGCAGAATCATATATACTTATTTTAGTTAACTAAAATATACTTATTTTATTACAGGAAAAAATACCTGAAACAAAAACGATAGTCCTGTAATTAATGACCCCAAACACATCATGACAGTCGCAACCTGCAAATAAGTAATTCACAGAAAGAAAGAAAAACGACGTTAACTTCTGATTATCTACTATATACTATATATTATACCGTTTCACTAATTAAAAAGATTTGAAACAAGTTATAACCGTTAAAAGGGATCGTCTTCCATATTTATCTATGATTACTATTCCTAAAACGCTTGTCACGGACTGCACCACGCTCGAAACCATTACTCCTACGTTGTTAGGAAACCCTACGAAACAATTAAACTGTATATTAATATCGTTTTTGATCATTATATTAGTTTATTTAGAAACTATATAATTATCTTTCTGTAAGAGATTTAAATTTTAAGTATACCTGATTTTTTGAAAATGGAGCTCAAGTAAAATGTATAGCCACTGAGACCTCCGAGTTGTTGTAGTACTAGCAATCCAATTCCCACCTACACAATTTACAGAGTGTTAAGTAACATATGCGTTTTTATTCAAAAACACAGTCAAATTTTAATTAAAAAATTCTTACAGTAATGACACGAGAGTATCGGGGATTGAAGAGATCGAAAAAACCATCTTCTTTGAATTCTTGAAGATTGTCCATATATTTCTGAAAAAAAGAACAATCAAAATATTCTTCACAGTTTTGTCAAATTTACATGTGTCACTTTCTTGAATGTTTTTTTTTGTTTTTACTTTGATTTCTGCAGCCTCTTTAGTGATATCAGTGTTGTTTCCTCGTAGGCGTTGGAGTGCAACTTCCGATTCTTTCACCCGACCGTTTCTAGACTATAAAAAGATTATACCAGTTAAAATGGTTTAATATACTTGTAATAACTATTTTTAATATGTTTTATGTGTATATGTTAATTAATCTAACAAGACTAGTTTGTCTACAAGTCTACAACTAACAAGACTAAATAATTAATATTACCAGCCACCGAGGAGACTCCGGTATGAAGAATAAACCGACGAATTCAAAAACACAAGGAGCCGTACCTGCAAAACTCCAAACGACACAAAGTAATTATTTTTTTATCAGCCTGATTTAAATTATAGCTAAAAATTACTTACGGTGTTAAAAATTTATTTATATATTATATATTAGTTCATAGACAGAGTCCAAGATTTACTTATGAGAGCTAATTTTTGCCATGAAATGATTGATCCAAGGAGGTATGTGACGGCGACGCTACCACACATCACGAGCTATCAACCCAAAAAAAAAAAAATAGTATATGATTTCTAGCTAAGAAAATTAAATCTGTTTTAATTTTTTTTGGCGGTTTATTACCGAGTTAATCGCAGAGAACGTGCCTCGGACCTTTTTGGGCGCGATTTCAACAATGTAGACTGGTACCTGAGATTAGATTTGGAGTCAATAATTAACCAAAAAAAAAAAACTTAAATTGGTTGCTTGGAGTAAAAGTCAATAAACCATAATTACCAGGCGACCAATTAAATTACGTACCACATAAGAGACTACGCCAGCTGCGACCCCGAGAAAAAGTCTTCCGATATCAAGGGACCAAGTCGCCTTTTATATAATAATAAGCCAAACTTTAGAAACGGCAAACACTTAATTAACTATTCGTCTAAACTTTTGATTTTGAAAGATCTTTTTTGTCTACAATAATAGTCGTGGAACTCTAATTAAACCAGAGTTTTTATATGGTAAGCTTGAAAACATTCAAACGATTAAGTTTATATCATACGTGATACGTGACAAACATTCAAACGATAAGTTTAAACACTATTTAAATAGATATTGAGAGATATAAAATGATCTTTAGTACTTAATTAGAAACCTGAGAGAAGGCGATCATAAGCCAGCCGGCCATGCAAAACGAGTTTGAAACCCCCAAAGCCTGCGTATAATCATTCATCAAAACGCTATCTTTCTTGGAATATATATGTAAAGAAACTACGTAATGAATTGTAATTTTTTGGTCATGATGATGATAAATTAGTTTTTAAAAATGGTTAAAAGTAAAAGAGCTTACGCCTCTTCGACCAAAGATATCAGCAAGTTTTCCCGACATCGCGGCTCCCACAAGTCCACCAATTGTTAAGACAGCTCCAAAGAATGAGAACTACATCCATGTACGAATAATGACTTAGGTGCTTTTTCTTCTAATACACATTAAAATGGTTATACTAATATTTAAATAAGAAAATGATCAAAATCTGCAGAAGTGTATTACAATGACACTAGCGTACACTCTTACGCCATTACCAAAAAAATCATATACTTTTAAGTAGAAAATCTAACCTATAATTAATAGAAAATTTATATTTGGGTTTTGCTCCTTCACTTGGCAATAAACATTTATCTAAAATGTAAATTAGTCTTCAAAATCCAATATTTGCATTTTTTTTATACTACACTAATTAAGTCACTAATACGCATCTTACAAGTTACACCTTGACCTCTATCTCATACTTTTTTGTGACAATCCATCTAAATATTGTCAAGAGGACGATTAGCTAAAATTATATCAGCAAACAGAAATAAAATCAACAACGCAGCACTGACCTCAGCCAAAGAGAGGTTAAGTCCTGCCATAATCCCGGTTTGAGCTGGTGATGTAAAGCCGGCCTGCCCAAATATAAAACAAACCTATTAACTAATCATAAAAAATGTTGTTTTTTCGCGACGGCATAATCCTTTTTTTTTTTTTTTTTTTTGATGATAACTCAGGTGATCCTAAAAACTTTATAGTGTTAAGAACACCTTAGTAGTTGTAAAAGGTATTTCTTGTTGATCATATGCGACGGCCAAGTGCCTTATATACAAGAGAATGCGCGTTAACCTAATCCAACAAACCGACTTATATTTGTCGATATATACAAAGCCCAAGTAGGCCCAATATATAGGTCCAAAGACTAATCTTGGGGCCTGGGGAAACCATGTTAAATTGCTCTAACCCCGGTGGCCAATGCTACTCGAACCCAAATGACGAGAATTACCTCCCTTTACCACTGGACCAAAGCAACTTGATTCATAATCCTTATTTTTATTGATACATCTTTCTCTTTGATTTGGACCCTTTTTCAAATAAATAACGATTTATTTAAAACTTACAGTTTCGGTTAAAATTTTATGGTAACTGATTAATTATGGGCTAAGATTCTGTGTTTAACCTAGAAAAAGCACAAAGAAACAAACAAAAGAAGAGAAGATGAAGAAAATTACGGCAGTGCCATAGGAGAAGGTACCGCAGAGAGTAGTTAAGGTTGTGAAGAGTAGAATTAAAGTAACGGGACCGTCACCGTCGCTGTCATTTACACCAATGCCTTTATCTGATTCAATGTCTTCTTGAATCCTGGCTTTCTGAAGAAGTGGTTCGTCTCCCATGGCTGATCAGTGTGAGAGAGACAGAGACAGAGAGCAACAGAGAGATTGGAGGAAACAAAGATTAATGAGAGAGATTATGTTTTGTGGGGCTAATTCCATTATATGTGGGATAAAGATTAAGAAACGATAGAGATGACGTGCAAGTCTCAACAAAAAGATTTTTTTTAAAATGGAACATTTAATACTTTTTCATTTGAACCATTCTTATTTATGGTATTTTCTACAGCCAATTTGTCAGGTTTTAGATACTAGGCAAATATTGAAATCTATGCTACAATTAGTAATAAATTATTTTAGATAGAACTCATAGAAGTCTAACTGTGTGTAATTAATTTCAAACAGTTGGACTGTTGAGCAAACAATTTGGAATTACTTTAGGTTATAAAGTTTTTTTTTTTTTTTTTTCAAACAGTTCATGATAAATATCATTAATTATTTTTTTACCGAATTTTCTTACTGCCTCATCTAAGTGGTTTAATGGTTTTTCATACCACTCAAGTGTAAACCGCTTTCTTAATTGGTAATTTATATGACAATTCAACCCAATCGCAATCAACATATATATAGTTATAGATTACATTTGAGAATTGTTGAACAAAAAAAAAATAAGAGATACCTCTGAGAACAATATCAAAGTACAAGTGAAATATATTTCGATATAATAATATGTTTTATGCCATTGGACATATATAACAGGTTTAGAAACTTTCTTCTTTAATTTCGTCCATAAAATAGTAATTGTGCAATGTTGTTTGAATGGTATATATCGGCTTCCATTTGCAGATTTTTATGATTAATTGCTGTAAAACATTTTAAATAGATGTTATGTATTTTTAATTCAAAAATAATATGTAAATCATGTTATTCTAGGTTTTATCCCACTTTGGACATGTATATTTCGTGACATGCTTCATAAAAATGATAATTTAGTATAATTTGAACCAATTTTCACTATGAAATCGGTAATATATCTTATTTAGGTTAAACTTGAACTCTGATATCATATTAAGTTTCATAGATTTTAACTTTATATCAACTAACAGTTAGCAGATTAATTTATATATTTTATATATTATTCTAGATTTTATCTTAAGATGAAAGATGAAATGTTATTATTAACGGGAAAACCATGCATATATCTAAAAAAAGAAGCAAACAATAAGTAAAAAAAAGTAGAAATTGTATTTGATTTTATTAATATGTTTATATGCTATTAGTATTATTTATTTGCCTAAATCTTATATTTATCATTTGAATGACTATAATTGAGATCACATTTACCACTTCTAAGTTCTAAACTTCTAATCGCTTAGTCAAACTTGAGTATCATTAAACTATTTTTCCAAAGCCTTATATCATGTTTTATGGTTATATATAATTTGTTCCTCCGCCTCTTATATCATCTATGGACTATGTAAACATATAGTCTGACTCATATATGCCTTTTCGTTCACACGATATTGTTTTGTAGAAATAATGTGACATAAACGTATATAAAAAGTGGAATCAAGTGACGTTAAGCTAGTGATTAATTTTCAAGCTGTCAACATCTAATTGTTATTTTTATGTTTGAGTATTGACCAATGATCGACTTTTGCTGAACGCAATTTCATTTTTTGCCATTGCAAAATTTCTATAGCTGTTGAAAACTTACAAAAAATGACAGTAATAAGTTGACCAAACTAAAATAATATAAAATATTTAACCCACATGAATAACGTATTTTTATAATTTACTGTTTATTTATTTACTTGAATACTTCAACAAATATTGATTGCTCTTATTTCATTTATTAGTAACAAAAGTACTGAATTGTTTAAATTTGCATTCAAATATTTGCGTAGGATTTGTGGAAAAGCGATGCATAAAAAAAGAAAGACAATTTGGGAGACACGACTAAAAATGGTAAAAGTTCATTTCATTTGGAAATCATGCTAGACATGGAGTCCATATAGACACATTACGTTTCCACATAATACGAATGGAATCTTAAAATAAAATTAATTATTTTTTAGCTAAAATTTGCAATTTGATATGTAACTGATAAACACACGTTCCTTTTTCATAATATATTTTCCTTCTAACAAAGTTTTAGAGATCAGAATTTGGATTTGCACAAAAAAAAAAAAAAAAGAGATCAGAATTTGGATTGATAAATCCACAGTAGATTCATATATAGTGTCTGGTTTATCATAAATATTTTTTTTATCTGCTTATAGATATCAAATATCTTTTTCTAAGCATAATTAAAAGAAAGTTATAATCACAAGTAATTGATTTTTTTTTAAAGATGTTTTTTGTTAATATAGTATATGATGGACTCATAATTTTATTATTTGTAATTATGTATAATATATAGGACTGGTAATTTGTTCAAAAAAAAAAAAAAAAATGACTGGTAAATCATATGTTCAATGGCGGACCTATGTGTTAAGGAGGGGGTGCAACTGACCCCCCTAAAATTTATAGAAACTTTGTTTTATATGTTACATGGAAAATGTCTTTGGAATAATTGGTAGTGTTTGACCTCATTAATATCAAAACCTGGGTTCAATGACACCCTTTGCAACACTCATTATTCATTGTTTATGAAGATAATTTCCTTTTTTAGAATATCTTAATATGCAACACTCATTTTCTCACTTAGTTTACATTTCATTTTCTATGCAATATAATTAATTATTAATTATCTTCTCTTTCATAATACATCTATTTTCTGTTACAAGTATTCATCTATTACAAAACATTTTTTCTATATATGGATTTAAAAAAATTGGCAAAAATTGTAGTTTAACACAAAATACTTTCATACAATAAGCCCAAAACTAATTAAACCATGTTAATGCAATTTAAAATATTTTACATATTTATAATATATGATTAAGCATATTGTAGATGATTTAATTTGAATATTTGCATTACTATTATCGAAATATGGTATCATCTTAAGAAAATTTTAAAAAATAGTTTATATATAAATGTTAAAGAAAAACAAATATCGATAATATATATATATATATATATATATATATATATAATCTTTTAGTAGTATATATAAATAATATACTTTAAATTATTTAGATTTTTGACCGCGCCGGTAATATTATTTTTTGGGTCCGCCACTGCATATGTTCATGCATATATCATAGGATCCCTGAACAGCATGAAGATGACCGGATCAACATCATAGACAGATAAAATGTCAATATCATATACGTATGTATTTTATCAATGGAATCTATATACAGCGATTGTTTGAATGTTCAAATAGAATTTAATATATAGACTACGCAAATCATTGGCATTTTTATAAATTTTGTATTTTTTGATCAAGTCACTCCCGATGTGATCGTTGAATGAGAGACTCATGAGATGCCAGAAACATTCAACACAGTTAGTTTAATTATTCTGACAAAAAAAAAAGTTAGTTTAATTATTTATTATTCACTAAAGAAAATGTTTTATGTTATTAGTTTTGAGTATGGAGAAAAAACAAAAGTAAAGAAGGTTTATAAGTTTTTGTATTTTAATTGATTTAATTATCTATATAGAATTCAAATCTTTTTAGAATTCATTGATTTCAATATCAAACTTGTTGATTTCAAATTTTATTTAAAAATTCATTCAGAATAATAAAGTTTATCTTTGTATTTGAGTCTTTGTATTTTTAATTTGAAAATACTTGAACATTAAAGTACACTATGATGAATCAAATATTAAATAAAAGAATGGATTTTCAACTGATATTTATAAAATATTATATGAATAACAAAAATTTTGGACAAAGATTTTAAATTGAGTGATCTAATAACGATTTTAAAATACACAAACCAATAAACCCTTCTAACATTCAAGAGTTTCACAGATACTTTTTTTTTGAACAACAAAGTTTATAGATTACTAGTCTCCATCCAAGGAGGAAATGATTACAAAAGATGAAATTAGAGCCAACAAAGCTGCCGATAATGCTGCTACAAACGCCAAGCAAACACATAAAAGCAAGAGTATACTAAATTCAAGAAATGTAGAGAGTTTCACATATTTTGTTCCGGTTTGTTATTCCCTTGTTATAAATTTTTCACAAAATTAATATTTCTTTGAATAAAACAGACTAAATCTCGTAATAATAAAACTACAAAAAATAAAAAGAGAGGGTAAAACCATCCGTTCCTTGAATCATGAGAGCACACAAAGCATATGAGTATTCCATTCCAAATACTTAGTTCTACATTATCAGTTACCATAACACCAAGCAACTTCTTATTCTTTCTACTCATCAACACCTTTTATAACAACTTAAACCGAATTTTGCTTTTGATCCATTCTAAACTTCTCCATGTACTAACAAAAATGTTCGTAGAGATGTTTCAGCTTCTATTCACAATCGTGTCAATCGAAGCCGTCCTGATATTAACACTCGGGTTCGGGACTCCAGCGAGAAGAGTGGTGGTGAAATTGCTAGACCTATCAAAGCAAGGTCGAGCACCACTGGTTGCGAAAACGGTCGCAGCCACAATGCTTGTGTTGTTTGGCTCGGTTATGTTCAGCACGATTCAAATACACACAAGGGTATCTGACTCTGGAGGTGTAGCTAACTCGACCGATCAAGTCATGTTTGCGAATTGCCTCCTCGAAGCTTTCCTCATGGGTAAATAATAACATCAAAACATCGTTTCATTTCACCCATCATTTTTTTTTTGTGGTTTGTTTGATCTAATTCTTGATTTCTTTTTATTTTTGTGTGTGTGAAAAAGGGACTGTCTTGTTCTTGGCAATGGTTATAGACAGAATGCATTATTACACAAGAGAGCTTCAAATCACAAGAAGAAACTTGGAGATTGCTGTAAATAAGGGCAAAACCGGTGCTTAAAAGCAAATGTTTTGGCATCCAAAGACCAATAAAATCTGTAAATATGTGAATGTTAATACATTATGTCATTATCAGAAGAAAGTCATTCTCGTGGTGACTTTAATTTCAAAATAAAAGTAAATAAAAAAATGAGAAATCTCACTTTCAATATCACAAATCAATGTACACTACTAATCAATCGGTTCGGGATTGAACCGGTTTAAATTACGTTCGGTTTGGTTCAATTACAGAAAAATATCCGAAGAGCGAGTGAACTCGTCGTTCTTCATCACACGCACGAGTCGACTCAAAAACCTCTCTTATCTTGAAAAAGGACTAAAACCCTGAGTGTCAGTGAGAGTATGAACAAATCTTCTTCGTTGTATCTCTCTTTGGCACCAACAAAAATGGTTTCCCTCTCTAATCAAACCAGATTCTCTTTCCACCCAAACAACCTTTTCCTTTCCGAGAATAGGCGTCTGGGAATCTCAGGAGTCAATTTTCCCAGGAAAATCAATGTGAAAATCACTTGCTTCGCCGCCGAGAGACCACGCCAGGAGAAACAGAAAAAGAAGAGTCAGAGCCAGAGCACTAGTGACGCTGAAGCTGGAGTCGACCCAGTTGGGTTTCTCACCAGACTGGGAATTGCTGACAGAATCTTTGCTCAATTTCTCCGAGAAAGGTATAACAAAAGTTCAATTTTGAACAAAAAGTGGGAAACAAAGAGTTCAATTTTTGATTAATTTTGAATACATTTGTGTATATAAGCGTGTGCGTTTGTTAAATCTGTAGGCATAAAGCTTTGAAAGACCTTAAAGATGAGATTCTCAAACGCCACTTCGATTTCAGAGATCTTGCTTCAGGGTGTGTATCCTCTTGGTCCCAGAGAAGAGTTTGATCTTGGATTAGTGACTGATGTGTATCCAAAATGCTTTGTCTAATGAATTGCCTTCTTTTCATTGTAGATTTGAGTTACTGGGGATGCATCGACATATGGAACACCGGGTTGACTTTATGGACTGGGGTCCAGGTTCTGTCCCTTGCTCAAATCTTAAGATTTCGTTAGTCAGTTTCTTGAATTACATTTGGTTCTTTCTTCATATAAAAATTTGATACTGCTTCATTAGGATTCGGAACTGATCAACAGAATGAATGATGTTCTGAAACTTGATATAGTAATTTGCGTCTGTTGGGAGGCTTGAGAATACTAACCAATCCTAAATTCAGGTGCTCGTTATGGTGCTATAATCGGAGATTTCAACGGATGGTCCCCTACAGAAAATGCAGCCAGAGAGGGCCTATTTGGCCATGATGATTTTGGGTATTGGTTCATTATTCTTGAGGATAAGTTAAGAGAGGGTGAAGAACCAGACGAACTATACTTTCAGCAGTATAACTATGTCGATGACTATGATAAGGGTGATAGTGGTGTATCAGCTGAAGAAATCTTCCAGAAAGCTAATGATGAGTATTGGGAACCTGGTGAGGACCGGTTTATTAAAAACCGCTTTGAAGTTCCTGCTAAACTATACGAACAGATGTTTGGCCCGAACAGTCCACAAACATTAGAAGAGTTAGGAGATATACCAGATGCAGAAACGAGATATAAACAGTGGAAAGAGGAGCATAAAAATGATCCACCTAGTAATCTACCTCCATGCGACATCATTGATAAAGGTCAAGGAAAGCCATATGATATTTTTAATGTCGTGACATCTCCAGAATGGACAAAGAAATTTTATGAGAAAAAACCTCCAATTCCATATTGGTTAGAGACACGTAAAGGAAGAAAGGCATGGTTAAAAAAATACATTCCAGCTGTTCCACATGGAAGCAAGTATAGATTGTATTTCAATACTCCTGATGGACCGCTTGAACGAGTGCCTGCTTGGGCTACATATGTGCAACCAGGTATGATAGCATCTGGTATATCTATGGTTAGGAGTAGCATAAGAAATATAACAAATTGCATAGCTTTCATTAATAAAATGAAGCAAGCATTCAGTTTTCCTTTTATCTGATGACACATGCTTAGAATTATTTGCACGAATTGAACAAATGGAAGGAGTCTTTTCTATTTTTTACTCTCTGCTTTTCATGTCCAGAGTTACTAGAAACTTTGTAAGCACTAGATTAACAGTCTTACTGAACAACATTCTTCAGAGAAGTTTTTTGAAACCTTTCTTGTTTTTATAGCGCTACTGCCTGATGTTTCTATGCAGAGATGC